CCCCCAGCTCACCCCGACGGGGCCGGACCAGCGCGACAGCGGCGCAGCTGGCGGTGGCGGTGCGTCCAGCCGGTCCTGGCCGAGGGTCGCCGGCGGCAGCAGCTGGAGGAGGAAGAGAAGGCCGAGGCCGTGGGGCCAGCGCGAGAGGCCGTCCGCAGCTCCCCGGGGCCGCTCCATCGCCGCCGAATGCCGATGCCGCCGACACCTGCCGCCCAGCGCGCCCGCCCACCCCCGCCGGCGCCGCGCCACACCCCCGAGCCGGAGCCGGGTGCTCCTTGGATACGCGTAGCCGGGCCTCTCCGCCTCCATAGGCTGGCCTCCTGTCCTTCTTCCCTGGTCCTCTCCTCATTGGCTCGCGTCGCCTCCGGCTTCGGGGGTCCTGGATTCGGATGCCAAGATGCGGGACTGATTGGCTGGAACGTGGCAGAGACGGCTGAGGTCATCCCCTCCTCGCCTGGCGTCTCCACGGCCGGGCTTCCAGAGTTAGCGTTGGAACTTTCTCCCTCTTCCAGTGAAGACCCCCGCTCCGTGGCGCCCTGACCCCTCGTTGCTCCCTCTGGCATCCTCAAGTTGGGGCTGGATTAGTCCCCTTCTCTCCCCACAGAGACACCTCTAAAATTTTGGGGGTTGCGGCAGCACCTGGAAATCTCAGGGAATCCCTGAGCTTGCTCAGCTGGAAAAGGGGGCTTCGTCATGAACCGGAGCTTCAGGTGTTTAGCCCCCGCGCACTGGAGCGCCCATTGTCTACTGAAGCAGCTGTCTTGCTGCCAAAAAGGTGAATGCGAATTGTGTGGGCTAAATCCTACGGAGGCAGATAGACATCAGGACGTCCGTGACTCATGCAAGCTTGAAGAAAAGTCTCTCCACCACGGACGGCCTCACTCATCTTCTTCTTCTGCAGGGAGTTAGGCCAAAGTTGGAATTGCTTATTGGTTTTCCTGGAGTTAGAAAGTAGCTTAAATAGGAGAGTCAGGTAAAAGGGGGCAAGAGAATTGCCCAATGCCTAGTTTAGACACGATCGTTTTATGGATGCATATTTATCTTTACCAAAGTACCGAAACCCTGCAGTGAGTGCACTGCACATTTTGGTTTCCAGTATATGGTGTCCCCTAAATTAGCACTCCGGCTCCAATAAATAAAACAAAACCCCTACGCTGTGCTGTTCCCTTTATCGCAGAAGCTGCCCACGTAACTTCTAGAACATGCAGCACAGGTAAAACCAGTTCTGGATCTTAACCTTATTGATTCCATGCCTTCAGAACGCTAGAAGTTGTTCAGTAGAAAAGGTAGCAAATAGAAGACACAAAGAATACAAAACGTTACATCTAAATAAGGAAAGCAACTAAAAATTACTCAACTCTAAACTGGAGGTAAACCTAAATGAGAATATATTCATTGTACAGCAAAATGGTGCAGTGCACCCAACCTAATGTTTACATTAAAATCCTTCTAGTTATGTTAATTTGCAAACAAAAAGATTTACAAATTTGTTTTTCCAGAATAACCATAGTAAGACATGAGAAGTGAAAAATATGTTTGAATGGCATCTGAGCAGGATGGTAAAATCATTAGAATAGTCTTCCAAGTTCTTAGCTACTGAAATGACAAGATAAAGCTAGATGAAAAGTGGTGAACAATTTGTTCCTTTCCATTAACTACCATGTGTCAGATTACTTTTTAAAATACAAATTATTTTTTAATCTATGCCAACTGTGGGGTAGATCACAAGACAGTCAGTTCCAGTAACATGTGATTAGCTGGGGGGAAAAAAGGGGCTATACAGGAATATTTCTTTGTTCGGGTGACACAAAGATGAATGGTCTATTGTCTTAAGGTCTGAAAAGAAAATTGCCAACTCACCAGTGCCATCTCATGGAGAAATTCCTAACAACACATTTTAACTCAATATTAAATTGTTGCAATTATCTGTACCTTTACTTTGTATACATTGCTTTTAGTTATCATTATATGCTTACAGAATATATATTTCCTTCCTCAAACTATATCAGCTGCTAAGTATTTGGTACCATGGTACTTTGCACAGAGAAAATGTTTTGAGTGAATAAAGTGTTTTAGTAGTTCACTTTCATCTAATGACACAGGCACTAAATACAAAAGTTGCACTGTCAGTGCACATACTGACACACAACATCCTACCTTACTGGCAGGACTAAAATACGTAAATTTGTATTACTAAAAACCACACTTTTCTCCAAGATAAATTCTATACCAGAAAGATGAGTAGAAAGCAGTTACATATCACAAAACCATTGCTTTTCCTTGTAAGATCATTCCTGATTCTATTTAAATTGGACACAAGAAACCTTGTAGAAAGTCTTCAAATTCTACAGAAAACCAAAGTTCTATCTCTTGCAAGAATGCTATAATTCTATTCTTTCAAGAATTCTAAAATTAGAATTATAGTGGGTATGAAATTTACTGTTTCACCAGCTGTAATCTAAGGTACAAACACACTGCCCAGGCAATGGGAGGGAAAATACTGTAAGCTGAAGCTAAGCTAGTTACACTAAGAACTATTCCTTTTTTTTCCGCCTACATAACACACGAGTATTTTTCCCCCTATATAATACACATAAGACACACTCTCATCTCTGCCAAAAGCAGCATGTTTTGTCCATTTCTGCATTAATCTACACTGAGTTAAAGGGAATATTGTTTATTGTCTAGTTCTCCCCACTAGAAGTTCCATGGGAGCAGACCACACCTAGTATTTTTACAGCTCTATCCCCAATGCCTAATCCATTACTTGGCATATGATAGGTAGGTACTCAATAAATTTGTTAAATTTGAATAAATGGAAGTTGAGATAGGATTTGATAAAAGGTGAACATGAGAGAAACTAATCCCATGATCACATTATATTTAATAACAGGGTTAAAATCATTAGAAGAGTCTCCAGAACGTTGGTGACAATATACTCTAGTTCCCTACTTTTATGTGTATGTCTAGAGCAAAATTCTTTTCTCCCAAACGTTTCCTGTCATTGCAGTTTCCAAATATATATAAGCACAAGTTGTTTTTCGCTGGAAATACAGTATGAATTTAATATGAATTCAGTGTACTCAAATAATCAGAATTTATTGACATAGAGTACAACTTCCCACAAGTGTTAATAATATACCATCAATTCTGCATTATCCACATATGGATTAGCCATGTTGTAGATAGTGCAAATACATTCTCAATAAGATGTCTCTGTTACTCAGTAGGTATCTAGGCTTCAAGGGACCTTGCATTGTAAAATCAAGAGTTGATTTGAAACTAGAAAATTTGAGTTCAAGTCCCAACAGCTTAATTTTCTGTGTCCACGGTCACACAGCCTTAGATTCTTCATCTGTTAAGTATGATAATGGTATCTATTTCATATGGCCATTTTTGAGGCTCCAATAGATTGATAATCTCAACCAGTTATATGATGGTAGCTCTAATGAGGGAAGTTTATAGTACATTCCAAAGTCTAATGTAAACCATTTCTGAATTACACCATTCTCTCTTTCTGATTTGTAATTGATCGTCAGCAAGACCAAGCTCATGAATTATTTTACAGTCCTTAACTTCATAAAAAAAGAAAATCTCTTTCCAAATAGACTCATAAGACACAAGAACTGGTACAACATTGTAGCTGGCTTACTCCAACCCACCAGTGTTTTGGGGAGGACCTCAAAATATGTTCTTTTAATGGTCAATTAGTAGCATCTCCTTTGTACAAGGAAAGCAGCAAAAATACCTATTTACTCAAGAGAAACTACAGGACTGAAATAGATTTACAATCTTATTAATACCTATAAACCACTGGGAGGAGCTGGGCTAGTTTGAGTTCATTTGCCAACACCAAGGGATTCATGATATAGTTGATTCTGCTGTAGAAAGCCACTAAAACAATTTTAGAATAGAAACTCTGACAGGCTAGGGATATTAATACCACTATCCTTTTTGCCCCCTAACAAAAGCATTTTGAACAAAAGACTGCATTAGGATAGTCTATTAACAAATATTTTAAATTTTTCTTTATTTCAGAACTGCCTTTATGTACAGACATCATAAAAAAATGCACATACACTGGAGAATTTCCAAGGAACAGGAGCTGGAAATAAAAGTTAAGGGCAATTAGGAGAAATGAAATTGTCCCAGAGAAGTTCTGAGTATCACACTTCCTTAAATGTCCTTGATAACCTCTTCAAGTTCTTCCTTTGTGAACATGTGGAAATTCTGGCCAGGCTGCACTGTGGCTAGCTGGAAAGAAAACAGAGAAGGGTTAATAAGCTGGACTGGATCACCCTGCTGAGAGCCCTAGCGTGGTCAGAGGTTGGTGTTGGTGATGCAGCTGTTCATTAGGAACTAAGGGATCTGCTGTCCCAGGGATATCCTTTCTAGCAGCAGCTTCCTAAAATAGCTCTCTGACTCTAAAATAAAAATTCTTATTGACTAAATTTTCTATTTTGAGGTTAACCCACCACATAATAGTTAACCAAATGCCTGGTGTCACTCTCACTTCTTAAAGTTACTTCAACAAGGATCACAAAAGTAGCAGCAAATCACATGGGGTCAGTACTTTTTTCTGTTAAAGATTCCTTTAGAAATATACTAAAAGCATATTTACACACTTGCAAGTTGAGCTTGTGTGTGTGACCTCGGGTTACTTGGCCACTCTGTGCCTCAATTTCCATCAATAAAATGGGAATAATAATAGCACCTAAGTCATAGAGTAATCGTGAGGATTAAATGTGTTAATATATGTAAGGTGCATAGAACAGTGCCTAGATTATTATAAAAACATCAAATAATCATTAACTATTAGGTAGTTTTTCCTCTAAAATTGTCCATACTGCAACTTAACAATAAAAAGGTTTGTTTTGTTTTTTAAAAGGACTGGCCATGAAAAGATTCCATTAACACTGAAAATAGGAAATCAGTTTTGACTGAAGACATTACTTATAACCAGCAATCCAGATGAGATTTAACTAAAACTACCAAGTTTTCCATCATCCCTGCTGACAACACAGTCCCACATTTTTGGGCAATACTGAGGAACAGGTGCCACTTCACATTTGCCTAAAAAGCTTTTGTGTTTAATTTGTTTTAAATGTCATTTCCTCATATTGTCTTTTTTTAAAACTTTAAACATACTAGGGCATTTTTTGAGTAATATTCATTATGATATTTAATGTAATTTAAAAACTGCAAGAATTAGCATAATCCAGTTACATGATGTTTATTTTCTCTGCCTCATCTACAGGTAAAAATTAGAAAAAGACTACTGCACATCTTAAAACACCTCAATATCTAGTCTGGGAACAGACTAAAAAAATGTTCTCTCAAAGCCTGCAGTCTCCACTAGATTCTCCCAAAAGATCTATCCAATTACATGAGATGTCAGAAGAGTCCCAAATATATTTGCAAAATATATGTTAAACAATCTACTCAGGTCCATATAGACCATGAGTTCTATTCCAAGGAAATTAATATGTATAAATGTTATTAAGGACATTTAATAACTTCTCTTAAGGACATGAGGACAAAGAGATATAAGGTCAGTAAGAGTGAGGGCCTATAGAATTTTTTGTCAAGTCACTCATAGCTCACAGGTTAGTCCTCCCAAACCATTACAGGGGATTAAAAAACAGAAACTGGGCAAACTCTGAATAAAACAGTTGTATAGAAGCAGGCTGCAAATCAATACTAATAGGACTTAAACCAAGTACTGCCTTCAGGAAGGTACTCATCACTAGATGAGAAAAAATAACCCCTTGCATTTACATAATGGTAAATTTATTTACATAATGAATAAATAAGTGAATTTATTTACATAATGAATATAAAAGATATTTTTCTATTTATCACACTTTACTTTGAAAAACCTCTGTGATGTTGCACTATGGTATTTACAATGGTATTAATACCTATAAACCACTGGGAGGAGCTGTGGTTTATTGAGTCAATCAATAATTACTAAACACCTGTGTACCAGCTACAGTTGCACTAGGCACTAAGGATCCAAAGGTGACGAAAGTCTCTTATTTACTAAGGGTGCTAGATGCCAAATGCTTTCAATGTCAATTAAGTGTTACAATAAAGCTAAGTGTATGTAGAGTAGAGGCACAAAGGAGTGAGCTAGGGAAAGTCCAGGAAGGCTTCAAGCAACCTTTAAGTTGTATCTTAAAACAGGGCAAGAAGGGCAGAATGATTGTGCAAATGTGTAAAAGCATGAAACAAGATGATGTATTTGCAAAACTAAAATAATTCTGAATGGCTAGAGCAGAGGTTGCATATGGGATGAGATGAAATGGAG